CATTACTGACAATAAGTTTTGGAAACTTATAATTTGGCCCCTAAATTAGGATGTGACAATTATACCCTCCTAATTTCATCCTCGAAGTTCATTCAAGTCACAAAAATGCAGAAATGAAGCTTTCATCAATTCTTCAATATCTTCTAATAGCTTTTACAGAAGTACGAATCATCTACTAATCCTTAACCAACTAAGTATACATTCTCGTCAGAACTCTCCCTCATTCCAATAAAAGAATCAGAACGAAATTATCCCTAAGGAATCAATTCAACCTTGGCTACGAGGTTAGGTTCATAAAGCGGTAACATCTCCCAATTTCATTTCTGGAGTCGAACCAAAATTTCTCGAATAAGTAACTCTCACATTACTCATGAGGTACTTTACAGAATTTAGACAAACGTTACTGGTATTCCTATATGCATAGATTGAGCCCTAACGGATAGAAAACTTAGGTTAGCTCATTACAGAGAGGGACTCGACCTTGGAGTTTCCGACTTAGAGAGTACGATCAAAATTTAGGGGCATGTACAAACCAAACATCTTTTGAATGTCAACCGGTCGGTCTAATTAGAAAAACTCGACTCAACTTAAGCTCTGATACCACTAAATGTAACTCCCATAGACCGATACGAGTTAAAGTCCCTGAATTTTTCCTACACTTCTAAAACTGACTATAAGTTTTGAAAACTTATAATTTGACCCCTAAATTAGGGTGTGACATATGTACTTATATATATATATATATATATATATATATATATAAGTATATATGTGTGTGTGTATTTATAAGTATATGTATATATTTAAATAAATACAAGTCCATTTTATTAATATAAGCTCATTTGTATTATAAAATGTATAACTCAATACTTATAAACCTATTTGTAAGCCCAATATACAATTAAGTATATATACAAGTCTATTTTATTAATATAGGCCCGTTTATACTACAAAATACATAACACAATCTACTCTTATATATATAGTTATCATTGATCAATGATGTATGTATATGTATGATATGTAATTTGAGCTATTTTACATCTTTTGCAGTCATGCTTTTTCTATGAGAATCCTAAAGTTTTTCTCTTTCTTGAGTTCTTCTTCTCTGTGATGTGAAAATTTGTTGCTTTGGTCCATTTCTTTGTGATAGCTTTTAACAATGCTACGGTGATACATAAAAAAGGGTATTTGTTGAAATTACTTGTACTTGGAAGGAAGAAAAGAAGAACAAGACAAGGTGCCAAAGCAATCCCTTTTTCAGAATCTAACCACAAAAGAATCAACATTTTCTTTGATAAATGAGGGGTTTTGTCGTTCCTTTGCTTGATGGGTCTTAAGTTGAGAGTGAATGAACAAATAAGGACCAAAAGGGTTTGGTTGCCCAAATTTTTGTTGCTTCGGGTAATGGTGATTTCAGCTATGGAAATTACTCTTGAGCTTTAGGTTTTCTCTCAGTTACAGAGAAGGGGGTGAGTTTTGTGTTTAAAAGAAAATGGTTTAACTGCAGCTTAGTCACTGAAGTTTGTAGAGTTCTTGAATTTGAAAACTTTTAGAGTTTAATGACCAAAATAGAATAGAAGAAAATAGTTGAGTGATGAATGGTGTAATTTACCCAATTTATAACAGCAGAAAGTAACGGTTTCATTAGTCAACGACGGAAAACATTGGTCAAAATGCTTCATTGAGTTTCTTTCGGAGTTGGAGGGTCACATTAATCCAAAAAAAAGGATGAGGGTCATATTGGTTTTTTTAAAATTCGAGTACCTTACCTTGTTGCCTTAAAAAATAAAACAAAAGAGATGAACTATGTAGTTTACCCCTTTTATATATAATATAATTAAAATTATAGGATTTTTTATTTTTATATTATTAAAATATATTCTTTAATTATTAAAAATATAAAAATTATTATAAAATATATTATTTTAATAATTTAAAATATAATAAATAATTATAAATATATTATTATAAAATATATTATTTTAATTATTTTAAAATATGAATATATTCATATCGAATCGGGATTTTAATCTAAAATACGCAAGGCAAAACGAAATCTAAAATTTATCAACTCGAAATGGATCAAATTTAGGAAATATATTTTCATATCAAGATTAGAGCAACCAAAAAATCTGCCTGGCCCGTCCCGTGCACATCACTGGTGTTAGAGGTTCTTTGGAAGTCTAACTGAATAACAAAGAGAAAAATAAATAGAATCCTGGCGCCAGAATTAAGGATAAAAGAATTATCCACACACACAGAAATGGACGGCATAAAGATGATCGTATTTGAGATTCTTTCAAAGTCTTAAGTATAAGGGTTGGAAAAATAGATTCAATCCCAGCACTGCAATAACAAGAAAAACCTCTTTCGAAAACACAACTACAATAACTATCCACAGCCCAAAATCAAACGGCTAACATTAATTTAGTGATCATCTGCTTTAGACTTTTTTTTTATTTCTTAATTTTTTATTTTTTATTTATTTCACATTTTTAATTCTCTTTTGACTTTTTTTTTGTCTTTTTTTTCCCAATTCAGAGCCAATTTCAACTTCACAGCGAAGAATATTGGACTCGAGACAACACATGTTCAACTTCACAACAAAGGGACGGCTGGTTGTCAACAAATAATTTCCGGTTTCAGAGCCAATTTCAACTTCACGACAGAGGATATTGGACTCGGAACAATGCTACTTACTTGGAGGGATATCCAATTTCAGGCTCAACTTCACGACGAAGGGGCCCTATACGATTCCAAATTCACAAACAGATTGACCCAACTTCACGACGAAGGGGTCATCTGTAACGTCACAACACCAAAGTCTTCAGGTCAAGTTCCACCTCACAACGAAGTATCTGAGCCAGGAAGACGACTCAGAGGCCACTTGTCAAAAGCTTTGAGCTCGTTTTCAACTTCACAACGAAGGATTTCGTGCTCAGAGTTTTCCATTTTTGACTTAACCTCACAATGATGGAGTCATTTGTGATTGACAAACCAGTCTTAATATCGGACTTCAACTCTACGACAGATGATATTCGATATGGCCGAAATTTGTATATTTTAATCTTGCTCTATTTTCATACACGATAAACGAGCAAAGAGGGGCAGCTGAAGATACCAAATTTCGCCCAGAAACATAAAACACGTGAAGCCCAAAGACTTCTATCGCCTCTCACCAGCGCAGCAACCCTCATATGTGAGGACTCTTAACAGCCGCCGTGCGCACGCAACTATCTCGAGAATCTCGACCATTATCAACCACCAGCGTTAGTATTTTACTAGGATTAAATACCCAAAAATAGGAGTACATGAACACTATAAATACATTGTAATCCCTTCTGTAAGGAACACAGAGATTTCATACGAAATGCAAGCTTTTTCTACCCCATACATACGAATACTCGAGCAAAAAAACAGTGAAAACACAGAAGCTTTCCAGCAAAATCAACGATTTACACTAGAAATTGCACAAAAAATACGAAGGAATACCAAGGAGATCGCAGCTTTGTACCAATCTCGAAGCTAAATAAAAAAGACGAAAAAGGTTCTTAACGAGGCGACGCGGGCTAGGAGCCTTTGGGAGTCGGCCACTGCGAGATTTGTGAAAGGTTAGGGATCTGTTTCCATCGCACGAAATAAAAAGGAAAGGGATATTTGTGGTTCACGTGATCTGGAGTTAAGATAGAAAGATGAGTGCTTTTAATTTGGTTGTTTGGGTAATATGACATAGGGTGCGATATTTGTAGTTATCTTTTACTTTGGTCGCTTAAAGTATTGGTTATTCACATTCAAGTCCCCTCAATTCCTACGTGTTTTGCATAATGACCCCAAAATATATGCGTAAAAATTGCGTTAAACCCCCTTAAATGTCACGTTTTTTACATTCTGGTCCCTAAAATTCTACATTTATTTATTTCACTTTTTGGCATTTTAATTCATTATTTTTAATTTAGCCACTACATGTTTCTGGCTTTGTTTATTTCTAATTTTGACACTTTATTTTTGTCTATTTTATTTTAGTAACTGTTTATTCCCAATTTGGTATTGCTTTTCTTATTTTTGCATTTTATCTTTGTTTATTTTTAGCTATTATTTTATGTTTCTTACATTGGATTTCTTTCATTCCTTTTATTTATTTATTATTTTTAAAAATACTAACTTTTTTAATCTTTTTAGGATAATTTTAATTGATCAAGAGGGTAAATAATTATAATCTAATTCATAAATTCTAATTTAAATTTTTAATTTTCGCAATTAAGACAACCGGTAAATAATTGGTATCGAAAGGGCAGTTCAAGGGTGTTAATCCTCCTTGACCGTAAACGACTCCCGAAACCCAACACATTTCTGGTTAAAACGCAGATCAGGTAAGACATAGGGTATTCGATCAACCCTTATATTTAAAAAATGATCGGTGGCGACTCCAATCCACATTTTTCAAGTCGAAGCCCAATTCCGGGGCCCGACCGAAAGACGGTTCCGACACCCTAAACAAAAAATTAAAAGATAAGCAATCATTTAAAAAATTAACATCATTACAAAGAGATTCAATACAAAGTGAAAAACGTAAGGCACCTATAATCATTCATTCAACAAAACATATTCATTACAAAAAGCTTGACCAATACAATCAGTTTACCATATGCTATTGATGCAAAACAGGCCGAAAGGTGTGTAGGTTCATTACCATATGCGATGATTGTTCCAATAATAAAATTTTCAATACACGATTTGAATTAATCGATCAATAAATCAAATATCGATAATTATAGTAAAAAATATTCCATTACAATGTATGATAAGTATTAATACAATAATTATGAAAATAAAAAATGCAATTATCAAGATAAGTGAAAATTTAACATGCTAGTATACAATACTTTTTAATTATATAATAAAAAAGTATATGTGTGTTAATGAAAATAAAAAAAAAAGTTGATAATTTAATCGTCCAAGGAAAATAGAAGAGAAATCTAATTTGTGTGCACTACTTTTTAATGAAAACCTCTTCCTTGAGATTGAGAAGCAGGTCCCGGGAGATGTCCGAAAACTCTTCTTCGTCGGCTTTCTCTTTGTTGATCATTGTGCTGACCAAAAGAATTCGTCGGTGGCCCCATTGAAAAACTACCCAACATTTGGTTATTGTGCGGCATCTGTTGTTTGTGTGAAGTAGGAAACGGTTGAACAACAATATCAGCTCCGAGTCTTTTTCGCAACGCTGATCCTTGCTCTTGCTGGATTCTATAGTAAGAAGAATCCATCGGAATACCATTATTTACCATTACTTGATGATTTTCGATTTCACCTCCTCTAATTTGCGGCAATCCAGCATAGCTATTGAAGGGTTGCTCCATTCCTATATTTGGGTTAATACCATAAGCAGAATTTGCAGCATTGATGTTGGGATTATGTGCAAAATCACCAAGCGCGGCATTGTGGTTCAATGCGAACACACCATGGTTAGTCTGGTAATTAGAGTAGGGCACAATAATACCATTCTGTTGTTGTTGATTTTTTAACTGTTGAAGCTCTCTCTTGAGATGCTTGAACAACCCTAGAGGCCCTTCAACTGGATCACTCTTCCATGCAAAGGCTTCCCATTCAAGGGACTCCACGGCTCTTTCTCTCTCATGAGGACTAAGACTGGACAGGATCGCCGTCACGTTTTTCACGCCAAAAATCTTGTGAACTTCTCGGAAAATATTTGCTTTGTCTGCAGGGAAGTAGAGAGCGAATAAACAGTTGGCTTCGCACTTTCTCCTTTGATACTTGCATGCCGCGCAGGCGTGCCGATAATTTGAGGCTTCTTCAGGGTTTGACATTCTTCTTTCTATGGACAAAATGAAACATAAAACGACTTAGGAGGCCGAATATAGGGTTTGTGCGATAGAATTTAGCTTCTTTATCACCAAGGTAATCTAGGTTTTCATAAATTCTATTTATTTATTTATTTATGTTAAATATCTATTATTACTTAAAGTAATAGTTGGTTTTACTTCTAACTTTATCACGAGTTATTAAAATATTAACATTAGATTTATCGATTTACTGAGAGCCGCTTTCGAGTTTTACTAAAGTTAAATTAGTGATTGATTAATATGATAAATTAGTCAGATACAACTCAGTTATAAAAAGTTAAATATGTCAATTCAAAAAGTAATACAAATAAATAAAATAAAATAATTTAATAAAAAGTATTTTTATAAAAATTTGTTCACCCACGCACCAACATTGTTAATATTACGATGGAAATTATCAATTTAAATTAAACTAATTCTTATTAATTAGACCAAAAAACAAATTTAATAAATAATTCCAAAAAGTCCTTCAACTTTCACATTATAAATAACCACTAATTTTGCAACCTCACACGTTTTACAACGATGGAACTACTACACTCCTCTCTTTAATAATATTAATTTAAAAACAATTTTAATTTTTTATGTTTTAATGTAACTTTCTTTCACGATATTCCTAATTTTAATAAATAATATTCTTTGCATAGGGTTGGGTTAACATAAATTGTAATTTATATATGTTGAAAGCTTCGACCAGCCCAATTCACCTACTATAAAGGACCTATGATATATCACTAACACTACACAAGCTTTTTGACGTTTGTTAGCCTTTTACCTTATAAATTATTCTAGAGAATTCTTAATATATATACATAAACACACGAAATAACACTTATATATTTCTTTAGGATTTTCATCACCTTCTAACGATATCTATATTCATATTTGAATACAAATTTTAACTAAGAGTAATATTAGAAATTAATTAGTACCAACTCAATGAATAAAATATTTTGAAAGTTAAAATATAATAGATTAAGTGTATTTTATTTTATTTTTTTCTTTTTATATAATATCGTTAAATAATATTGTTTAAATCTAAACTCATCAAATGATCTCAGTGATAAAAGAGAGTGTTGTTTTCACTAGATGTCTCGCGTTCAAATAATTGCATTTGCAGGATGTCTACGTTCTTTTTTTATTAAATGTCTACATTTTTAATGATTAAGAAAAATTATAAACATATAATATATTGTAATCATCTTAGCCTAAATCTCTCGTAAAAATATACCACCTCTGTGAAGAAAAATATACACTTAAAAATACTACCAATACTTCTTAAAAACTACCATTCTTGGTAATGAATTCAAGTGATATATCAAACTAGTTAAGAATGAGAAGAGAAAATGAGCAATACGTTCCTTTTTTGTTTAATGATGGGCCATGGAATATTTCATAGATGTAGGGGATTTGATCATTCTGATTCGAGAGAAAAGAAAAAAAATTCATTGTACTGCAGCGGGATCTTGCATAGGCTAATCGGCAAATTTAGTGCCAATGAGAGGTAGATGACAGCGCTGTAAACCTTAGGCTATGGAGATCCATCTTCTCTTTATTCCCTTTAATCTTTTAAAATTTGTTGACAAAAATCTGAAATTATTTTAAGATCCAATTGTTCATATCAATGAGCCCACGATAAGCTTCCTCGTCGATTATATTTTCAATGTTAGATAAATTGATTGTATTATTTGACCCTAATTTGTAGGTTATGAGCTAATGAATTGTGATAAAAAATAAAATACATGTCTAGTACTTCAAGTATCACTTTTGTTTATGTTTTGATCACCTAATTATTTTTTGTTCAAAAGTCATTTTAATGTTACGTTTTAATTTCAATTTAATCACATACCGTTAAAAATTTAACAACAGTATTGATATGCCACCATAAATTTTTTAAAAAGATGTTGTATCAGCAATTCAATTATTTTTTTAAAAAAGGATGACCGTAATGAAATCAATATGATCTAAACAATAATCACTTAATGATCAAAACGAAACAAAAAATAATAATTAGGGTACTAAACATATACTTTACCCTAAAAATCCAATATCTTGGTGATTTGATAGACGATTGAGTATGAAATTGTTTAAATTGATAAAGAAATGAAAATTTTGATTGGAAGGGTGTGTTCAGAGAAAGGAAGACGATGAGAAAGTTGAAGAAAATACTAGAGATCCGAAATTAGGGTTTGGAGAGATTCAGCATTTTATGAATGATTAGATTAAGTTTCTATTTCTATAATTTTTGTTGTCTCATTTCACTGAAAGCGACAACGAAAGGGAAAACAATTTAAGAAATATTTTTATCATATAATGAAAAAATAACTACAATTATGTGTAGAATATAGTACTTTTTTCTATTTTAAATAATATAAAATTAATTTATCTTCAAAAAATATAAAATTAATTAATTTAGTAAATAAAATTCATTTTTAATTGATATATAAATTTGAAACTTATTTTTAATAGATTATTATAATTCATAGGTATTTTAAAAAAATGTATATTTATTTGAATTTTCAAATTAAAATTTTATACAAACTGTTAATAATTTTAAGATGATTGAAAGTTTTTATATAATTATAATCAAATTTTATAAAAATATTAAATTCATATTTTGATTAAATTTTATGAGTTGAATAAAAAATGACTTTTTTTATTAACATATCATCAATATTGATGGAGTTAATTAAAACTATATATTTTTTATTTCTTAAAGAATTTTGTAATTAAAAGGATAGATATCACTGTAAATGAATAATGACACCACATTTAAAATAGTTGTCACCCCTTAAAAGAATTTGACACCTAAAATTAATCTCTACCTCCTTAAAAATATTTTCTCACAAACTTAAAAACCTTTTTTATATACTTTGAAAATTTAATATAATATTCAATTGTATTATTCTGTACTTTTTTCTCTTGCTAAGATTAGGGAGGTTTTTAATAAGACATATGTTAATACCTTTTTCACCCAAAAAAGTATTTAATACAGTAATTACTTTTTTTTTTGCTTTGCTCTTATCATTAATGTAACAATAATTAATATTGAAGTGATTATTTTATAATTTATAGATATATAATTATGATATTATTATTCATTAAAAATATAAGTGATCACTTTATAACTTTTTAAAATCAATTGATTAAAATAAAAAAGATGAAACGAAAGAGACTGAAACATAGCTTACCTAAACTTTTCCCGATTGAATGAATGGTGAACGCCGGTTGGCACTCAAATTTAGGCATGACCGTGCTTGTATTTACTACAACCACGTTTGCATTAAGTAACTGTTCTTTTGACCGCCTTGCCCATTTATTGTAATCATGTGCTCCCATCATCTATTTTTTTATGGATAAAATGTACCATTTTCATGCTGCGTTTGGTTGATTAATTGTTCTTTAGGAACAGTACCGTTTTCATGCTCGTTTTGTTGATTAAATAATTGTTCTTTAGGAACAGTTTTAACCTCTGGACAGAGAAAAAGGGGTAGAATAAGTTAGTTTATTAAATGTCAACTTTTAACGGAGATGATGTGGTTATTAAAAAGATTAATATAATTATATATTTAATCTTTAATATTATATATTTATTATTTTAGTCTTTATTTTAATTTAATTAATAAATTTAATCTTTAATTAGATAATGACGTGCGTCACTATTTGATTAAAGAATACTTTCTTAATTTTTAATTTTTTTAATACAATAAATTTCCTCTCTGATTAAGTGGTGAAATGTGTCACCGCCTTAATAGCGGGGAAATTAATCAAAGGGCATAAATAATTAAATACTACAATGGGAGGATCGACCTTGTTTCAAAGGACGAGATTTCAAACGCTTGAGTCACTAGGAAGGCTCTATATATGATAAAATTGTGCAACGTTTATTATACATTCTATTGTGGTTAACAAAAGGAAAAACTAATGCCAAAATGTTATCAGGAGGATTGATATAATATATATATTATAAATTCAAGATATATATATATATATATATTATTTTTATAATTATTTTTAATAATTATATATGAAATTATATTTTAAATAGTTAAAATTATATTTCAAAATTTCATTTAGCAAACTCAAAATCATAAACACAATCCAAATCAAAAGATGAATTTATAATTCAAATATTAACTTTTTTTCATCAAAAAATTCTTTAGAATTATTTTTTATTTACGTACGACCAATTTTAATCATATTAATGTCATAATTTAAATTACACATATCAAATTACATATTCAATAAAAATTAAAATATAAACGAGTTGTATATTTTTTAATAAAAATTATTAATGATGTTAAAAATAATTAATTTAAAGATTACATATATAAAATATAAAAATATTTTTAAAAAATTAAAAATTAAAAATTCATTTTTATTTCACATCTTATATTTAGTTATTTATTTCATTAATAAGTTTTAAGAATATGTAAGCAAATATTATTATTTTTGTAACACCCTAACCCGTACCCGACCCGAATATGAGTTCGAGATGTCACATTGACTTTTTAAAACAATATTCTTACAAAATAACAAAACATTTGGACTTTTATTAGAAAAATACGATCATATATTGTTGAATTATATTTTATTATAACAAATTTGAAAAAAATACGCCTTTATGAACAGTGTCGTGAATAGTATCGAATGCTAAAATTTTCCAAAATGCTACAGGGGTACCGATACCCTGCTATAGTGTACTGATACCCTTGCTACAGTAATTTCATCCAATTATATAAAAACTCATAAAATTTAAACTTTCATCACTATACATTTACCATTTACATAAATACGTTTAAAACATTCCAAAACTCAATCAGAGCATATCGTATTCAAATCTTTATTTACATGCCAACCCATATCAGTATTACAAAAATATTCTGATCTGATCTTTGGAAAGGAGAAACTGACATGTCTTGCTTAACTTTTATCAATCTTTCTTTTCTCGGAACCTACGTGTA